AAATTAAGTTTTAACTCTTTTCTACCATGGTTTCCATTTAAATTGAAAATCGGTTCTAAATAAGTTATCTCTTAAATAAATTGAAATATTTGATTAAGTTTCCAATTGGGTTACATCATGCATTAGAACAATGGCAATACAAATTCACAAACTACTTCCCTTTGTGCAGCTTTGATAGTAGATTTTAGATAATTTCTTTTTAGACTAGATTTTTATAGATAACTTGCATCCTCAAGAAGGGGAGAAGATGGTGAATATGCATAAAAACAAAAGTTCTAAATTATGATTTTTAGTTGCAGCTCAATAGTTACCTTCAAATATTATAATTGTTTCGAGGTTAATAGCATATGGGCCAAGTTGAGAATTTAATTACAACTATGAAAAGAACATGAAGATTATATGATGACTATAAGATTTATGGGAATACCTTCAAAAGAGACATGATGATGGTAGAAAATTTTAATGAATTAGAAGCAAATTATGTCATATTAGGATTTGGTTAGGAAAACAGTCGAGGGATAAGTGATGAATAATGGACATTTCATAGAAGTATGATATTTAGTTAAATGCTAGTTTGTCATAGTAAGGTGACATGATATAAGAGATTTTTGTGCCAATGAAAAAGGGAGCACTAGGTATAACAACTGTAAGCAATTGTGATGATAATAGTTATAACTAGTAAAGCATGAGGTATGCAAGAACTTTTAGTTATATTTGGAAGAGTACAGTAATAAAATTAGGAGATTGAAAGTAATTGGATGGGACAGTTAGTGTGGCTAAGATTGGAAGAACAAAAATATGTTGCTGGAGCAACATGTACTTTTTGGGGAATGACTAAAAAAACTGAAAAATAATTTTAACATAGCTTTGTACGGTAGTATATACAAATGAATAATGTTTTATTTTCTCCTCAAAATCTAGGATGTTACAAATTTCATCACACTCAAAAGAAGGAGTGAATTGATTGCTTATCAAATTTTTAATTAGTGTTTTTAAACTTTTTTATAGTAAACTAGAGTATGAAAGATTAGTTAAGTTAAACCATCAATGTAACAATGTTCCATTGAAGCCATCATTGCAATTCTTGTGAGGAGAAAAAACTGTTCTACAACTCTTTGGGTACAATGTCAAATCAACAACTTGCTTGAGGGCAGTCATGTAAGGCATGCAACTTTTTTTTTTTTGATATAAAGTCACAAAAAAATTGTACAAGGGAAAAATTAGTTCATGTTAGAATTAATGATGCTTTTGCACTCTAAGGGTGGATCAACAAAAATTGTAGTAGCTAAATTGTTGTTAGGTGCATGACGAGCAAGTCAATTAGCGTACATATTTGTTTCTCTGAAAACATGTTCAAAAGTTACAATTCAGTTTTTAATAATTAAGTCTCCAATCTTATTAATAGTACTGTAGAGAGGATGATTCCAATTATAATTGTGTTGAATGTGCATGAGAGTGTAAGGCATGCAACTTGATTCCTTGGTCTTCTTTTGCAAATATCATAAATTCTGAAGGCATGTAGCCCTCTCTTCCATCTGGTTATATTAGGAAGAATACGATCCTTAGCACATAGCCATAAAAATATGTATTCAACATTGTTGGGGGTATATTAAACTTCCATATATGCCTCTAAAGACTCCTATAGTCTGAAGGGTTATAAACACAATTTGTATAAGCAAACTTGATCGTAAATTCTTCATTCCCTGCCCATCTTTAGAAGGGTTGATAAATCATAATTTTTCATGTATTTTATTCCACCTTATTCATATATTTTAATGACAATTTTGGCTAATTTATGTTTATTATATAATATTGGGATTACTAGAACCTTTTGAAAATTATGAGAATTTTTGGGCTTAAATTGTAAATATTGTATTTTCTTATTTTATGATGTGTTTAAAATGATGATTATATAAAGGGTAAATGAGTAAATTGACTTCTAAACTATAGGTTTAGAAGTGTTTATGATTCTAAACTCATCTTTTTTGTAATATTTTTTTTTACTTTTGAAAATGATACAATCTAACCTCCATTAATGAAAGTTAATTTAACTATTATTTTGATCAATTGTGAGTTGTGTGTGTGTGTGTGTGGGTCTTAATTTTATTTATTATACATTATTTGAAATTTTAGCCATTTTCTGGGAAAATCATAATTGTTGGAAATTTTTGAATTACTATTATTGGAATTAATTCCCAATTTTGCATAGCACATGAAATTATTTTGTATATATACCGTAAGTTCAATTTAACTTTTTAGGACATAGAAGTACAACTAATGAAATTTTATGGTGGAGATTAATCCTTAAGCTCCAAGAGACGTTTAAGGTTGGCGGTTTTGGTATTATTTTTAAAGATAAGTTCATTAAGGGTATTGTAAATAAATTATAGCAAGGAAAAACAAAGGGGACTTGTCTTTTCTTATTTATCCTATTGGTCCAATTAAATTTCGATGACTTGGATCTCCTCTGTATTCACTTACCCCTTTCTACCATTAGATTAATTTTCCTATTTTTCACTCAATCATCACCCCTAGCCGCTACCCCTCTTTCCTATTCTTCCTTTTCTTTTTCGAAAATCATCCTTGTAACACTCACCAAGTTACATGAACACATAGCTTACTATCATAGTAATAAAAAATCAAACATACAATGGATCATCATCATAGAAAGAATTAATGATAATTGCAAAGTATTACAGTAGAAAAGGAAAAAATTGCATCACTGAAATTTTTGTATGATTCAAAAGAAACAAACTACCTTTTTTTCTACAAATACAAAACCACTCTACCATAATAATAATAAAAAATCTAGTATATGGTTGATAGGCATTTGCTTTCTTGAAAGTAAGATATAACGATCAATGTTTGCAACGTCAAGGACAACATTACTATAATTTAATTACTTAAAGTACAAAATTATTATGACAAAGAATTTAAAACATTAAGTGCTCTTACAAAAATATATAATTTTTCTTGAAAGTAAGATATAACGATCAATGTTTGCAACGTCAAGGACAACATTACTATAATTTAATTACTTAAAGTACAAAATTATTATGACAAAGAATTTAAAACATTAGGTGCTCTTACAAAAATATATAATTTTTGAACAAAAATAGACCTTAACCCTTTAGTTAAAAAGATATAAAAGACTCAATATGATACTACAATAGGATAGATAAGATAGAAAGGAATTGACTAATATCAATAACTAATTATTACACCGTAATCATAATATTATTTTTTAACAAGACTCATCCTTATATTATATTAGTCTTTGGGCTAAAATATTGCTCCTAATAAACTTCTTATTATTATAATATTTATTTTTTCAAACCATAACTTTATCAACACTACCATGGTATTAAAAAGATAAATTAGTACAAATAATTATTATTATGATGGAAAAGCTTTAAATAAACCAATTTAATATAAGGCAACTATGGTGAGAAGAAATAAACATATCAATAATGGTCTACCATGATTATTAAAAAAAAAAAAAAGAAAAACCATGATTGACACAGTTATAGGGAAGTCTAACCCTGGTAGAATAGAATAAAACACAAACAAATGTTTACCATGGTTAAATAGATTTGAACATACTTAATAAAACTGAATTATCATAATAGAAAAGGATCTTCTATTACATTTAAATAAACTACTATGATTGAAAAGAGAATTACCTATACTTTTTAAAAAAACTTAAACGGCATGGTAGTTTCTACCATGATAGGATATAATTGACAAATAAAACAATTTCTGTACTCAATACAACCTATTAAAAACTTGTACAGGATTTATGAAAATATTGCGCTGCAGAATATCATGTGGGCTAGAGAATATAATAATAAGTTATTCATTATTAATTTTTTTAAAAAATAACAAGCATGAAAATGAAAAATAATTATTAGAACTCACATGTAATGAAATATAATAATCATAATAATAACCTAACAGCATGTATTGGTCCCTATAATTTTCTTTCATTGCACTAGAATATTAATTCTTCTATTTTTGAATATATGTATAAGAGCGATAAGATGACACATGGTGTTAAATATATTGAACTGTGATGAACAATATTAATCTGTGTTGAGGTGAAATTATGATGTCGGAGTTGTCCATTTTTTAACATCTACCAACATAAGTATGCTACGACATATATCAAACAAAAAGTAAAATTTATCATCAAATAATAGAAAACATGAAAAATTAATAACAATCTTGTTTTATATTAACAATATTATATATTATCAATCATTGAACATGTTTTTTGGGTTCATAAGTGTCAATTGTTAATTAAACTAAATAATTTACTACTCAATGGTTTCAGGAAAGACATAATAATTTAGTTTCTATAATTTACTTAAAATTTCTCCAAAGTTAAAATATTTCAAAATACTCTATATAATAGCTATTTAAATAGAGCTGATAATTTCTAAGAGAAAAAAAAAGAGTTGATAATTTTGCAAAATTCATCAACAAAACCACTTGGCAACAAAAATGTTAATTTTTCAAAGATTTTATATTACAAACCAATTAGAATTAAAGTTAATTCATGTAATATAAAATATGGTAAATGGATCATTTGAAGTTAAAAATCTGCAAATTTCATGAAGTTTTTCTATTAAAAAAATTAAAAATATTTAATATTTTATAAAAACAATATAAAAAACCTCATGAATTTAAGCTTCCGATATTTGGTCCAAAAAAAAAAAAAAAGCTTCCGATAATTTGTTGCCTGAAATATGTGCATGAGGCCTGAGAGATGTATTGTGCCTATTTTGCTTCATCTCTTTATCCGTTCCTTTCTCCTGAAATTACAAAATTCAAATATTTGTATATTAAAAATATTTTATATATATTTTTTAAAAAGTAACATTTGAAATAAAGTCTTATTATTAATTAATTATCGCTCCTCAACGGTCTTGTACTTCGTCAAACGGCTACATTTTCTCTGTATATAGCCTCTCCGGTTTACAATTTTTTTCCTGGAAAACCCATTCTCTGGGAAAGTACTCACCCGCGATATTCATTTTCAGCGGAGAGGGAAGAAAATCCGAACCGGAAGTAGGTATCAATCTATTGCTCAGGTCAGTCTTCTGTCTTAAGCACAATCCTTAATTTAATTCCGAGAAATTAATCAATTCGCACCCGAAGGTCGTTGTGTAGATAACTTTTGAAATATAAATTTACAATTGTGAAAGCACTAAAGTTACCATTATAATCTAGTCTGTCGATGAAAAATTCTCTTTCCTTTTAGCATTATGGTTGGCAGGTGATCTCATTGCTGATCTGAATGTCTGCATTTTGTTTCCTGGTCTTTTTTCTAAATTATGTCTTTAGTTCCAGTTTTGTTCAGCCGAGGTTGGACCTTTATAATTGTGACTTTAGTCCGTTCACAATTGACAGTTGAAAACTCTGATTTTGAAATTGAAGACGCATCAATCTTCTTATGCGCCGTAAGTTAATGATTTTTTATTCTTTGGTGTATGATGAAAGCTAATTTTTATTCTTTGTTTTATCTTGATTGAAGAAGTTTTCAGTTCCGATGATACTGTATGTGTCATATAAATATTTACACCAAAACTGGCCTAATTTTACCAAATGCAGAAGTTGCAGAGAGAGAAATAATTTTTATTTGTGGCTAGTGTCATATAAATATGGCATGAGAAATTACTTTTGATTTTAAGCCATTTTCTTTTTACTTTTTACTAAAGTGGTTTCCCTTCGCATTTTTTTAGTCTGTGATCTAAACTTTAGGTACTTAATGGATTGTTCAGCGACGTCATTGAAGTGCTTGAAGAATACATAGACAGAAGTCACATAGATGACTCAATTTCATAAACTTAACTTTTGGCCTAGTAAAGACTTAGCTTCAATGGATTGCACTAGTGTTCGTACTTCCTTTTGTCCAGTTCTGTTCGCTTCTTTTTAATTATCTTCAACCATGTTCCACTCTTTACTTCTCTGAGGAAAATCCCTTATTATAACCCCTTTAGGTCCTTTTGTTTGTTTGTTTGTTTCTTTTTCTTTTTTTCCTTTTTCCTTTTTTGTTTTTGTTTTGGTTTGTTTTTTCTCATGGCTTTAGAACGTTTACATACTCTCTGTTTTACTTGAAGGCCCATTTCTATGTTTATTTGCCACACCTTTTTATTAATTCCCAACTGATCTTCAAATTCCTAATCACTTAAGCTTCCAAATTAATTGTTTTTAGTCCATCATTTCATTTTGTTGGATTCATTGTGTTAAGGTCTTCAAATTCAATACTGTTATTAACTTTGCTGCAATTGACTTGGTTCTATTCTTTTACTTCCTTTGGATTCTTGCTATTGAATTGAAATTGTTTTATATCAAGTCCAGATTTTTGTAAATATGCTGCTTAGATGGTTTTGTTTTCGTCTTTTGTTTGTGAGTGTAGAGAAACAAACCAAAGGAAGCACAAAATTCTTTGAATTCTGCTTTTATTTTAGGCTGTTTGGTGATCAATCCTTGCTTCTGCTAGTCTGAGTTTGTTGATTAAATGATTATTTTTGCATATGTTGATCAAACTTAGTTTGCTTACTTAGAAATTTTTATAGCACACATCGTTATGTTTAGAGTAAATAATGTCAAATGATACTCCACTTGTTATTATTATTATTTTATTGTGAATACCTGGAGAGCCTAGGAATTGGCATAGTTCTGTGAAATTGGGTCACTCTTAGGCAATGAGACTTAGAAATGAGTCATGCTCGTGACAACTAATTTTGGAATTTGTTAGGCCAAATAATGATGGAATTTGTTGGTGGTTGCTTTGAATGGCGTTACATCAAAGGTGGAATAATAATGAAAGTAAATTCAGTTATAAATATGCACAGTAACATACATCGAATACGCTTGCTCATTTTTTAATTAGTAACTTTTCCAAAAGTGAATTGTATTACTTTTTACTATCAGGGAAAAGATTACCTACAAAATGTCAAAAGCATAAAAAGTTGCTAAATGCTTGGAATTTTCATACTGTTATGAAAATTATGGATTTATTGATATTATCAAATAATTTTCATACATCAAGTAATTTTTATACGCATGTGACTGTTATGATAGTTGTTTGACTTTTTTATATTCAACCTCACCTATTTCTCATGGACTAATGAACTATGAATTAAGTTTTATTTCTTTGCCAAAGAAATTTGTTGCTGTATCCCTTGAGATGTTGAGGCATGTATATATGTGCTTAGATGTGGAGCTTATAGAGTTCAGCTGAACCTTATCTTGAGGATGCATTTTTTTGATCAGGTCGATACATCAAGTAAGTATTCTTTTACTTTCGAACATCAAATGTTATGTGTTGTATAATGTCTCCTAACATTATCACATCCTTAACCACAATTACATACTTTGTCATGGTAATTAAAAGACAACAAATCTAAAACTTATCATGATAGAAAACACTTGACATTAGTGAAAAATATCCAACCATAGTAGAAAAGAAAAGAATTAGGTTTAAAAGACTACCACGGTTAAAAGAGTTTAACATATATTATTAAGAATAAATATTTTTACCCTTCCCATGATAGCAAAGATTAAACTAGTAAAAAAAAAAAAAAAGACTACTATGGTAAACAATTTAAACCAAAACAATAAACTTATTTTGAAATCAAAGTTAACAAAAAACCCCTTTTAAATCAAAGTGTAAAAGCAGATAGGATACATTGAAATAGTTTAGAAAAGATAACATTTTAAAAAGTCCCAAAATAGAACTAGAAGCATTTGGACAAACACATCTGTCATAGATGATTTGCCACCTGTCTTGCTTCATTTGGCCGTCAATCTAAGGATGGTAAGCCATATTAAATTTCAAGTCAATGCCTATCACTCTTTGCAACACTCCCCAAAATTTTGATGTAAACCTCAAATCACGGTCAGAAACTATATCTCTTAACACCCTATGCAATCTCACAACCTCTCTAATTTAAGCATTTATCAACTTTTTTAGAGAATCATTGATCTAAATAGCTAAAAAATGAGCTGACTTCTTGAGTCAATCCACTATTACACAAATTAGTATCATGTCCTAATTGAGTTCTTAGCAATCCAGATAGAGAATTCATAGAAATGTTGTCCCATTTTCACTCATGGATTTCTAAAGGTTGCAACACTCTAACTGGTCTCTTAAGATTTGGACCTTTTGACATGCCAAACACCAAGACACAAACTCTATCACTTCCCTCTTCATGCTCGGCCACCACCAATGACACTTTATATCATAATACATCTTCATAACTCTTGGGTGAATAGTATATTTGCTACAGCAAACCTCATTCAAAATCACTTTTCTCATATCCTCATTACTAGGCACACAAATTCTATCTAGATAGACCATAAACCTATCATCATTGAAGCTGAAATCTCCATTCTGATTCAACTTAATCTCTTCTCGAACCCCAAGAAGATATTTATCTTCTAGCTGTGCTATCCTCAACTCTCTCCAAAAATTATTACTGACGGCTGTAAAATAGTATTCTATCTACACATTCCTCAGACATAAAAGAATGCATTGCACTAGAATCAAACAATGCTTTTATCTCATTCTTAAAAATAGAAATCATACCTCTTATCAAATCTAGAGATGCTCTTACCTCTTCCTCCACTATGAACACCTTTCCAAGAATAGAAGAATGTTGCTTTACTACCTCAACTGTAGCTACTACTATGCTTGTCTCAAATCTTTTCTTTTACCTTGCTCACTATCACCACCTATAAAATGTGTAACCACAGAGTGAGATAAACATCTCAGTAATAACATAACTGTAAACAAGTAAAGTGTATATAAATGTAGATCTATATAACCACATGTTCACTTTCATAAGACCATTTTCAACCCAACTGAAATTGAAGGCTCCACAAGATCAATCACTCATACATTGATCTGAGCACACTTTTAGCGGTAGAATTACTTAGTCAAGGGCATTTTGCCACTACAGTTTCTGTAAAGTCCTGTCTCGATTAGGGCTTTATCATTCCCATCACACAATTAACTAATATAAGCACAATTTGTTTTCAAATCGTGGGATCTTGACTTTTTAAAACATATATTCAAATAAGAGGGCTAACGGAAGTGTAAACACATTCAAAAGACGCAAAATAAAACAATTTCTCAACCCTAAAAAGGGTCGTGTGCCATGGCTACATGCGCTGCAGCATATGGCACAGGGCTACATGCTTGACTTCTTTGTGTCATACGCCATAGCATGAGACACCATGTGCCGCGACACAATAGTTCGAAATTTTTGTTGTTATTTATCAACAAAAATGATAAACTTCTAGCGTGCACAATTTTCACAATCGATGTTCAATTGGAGTGATTCAAGCGCCCATATGAAGCTTACCACGTATACTAGCTAATGAAATAAGTTTGGATTTGATTTGATAGTCCAATCTAAAATTGGGCTCTTAGGTGTAAAAAGTCACTTTTTCTTTCAAAAACTTGTACCTTAAGTGCCTAATTCTCATTCATTATCCTGTTAGATCACTTCGGGCCTTGAACTAATTCCAAAAAGATCACATACATTTGACTAGCATCACATATAACAAATATCACATCAATAACCCATTTTGGCCTCTCAATGGCACATTACACAATTGTGGTCTTATATGAAGAAAATATATATACAATACATATTCATAAATACAACTAAATTTATTCCACTCTCAACCCTACACTCTTACATATGGTGCTCCGCCTCACCATTTGTATCAAGTTCTCACATAACAACACAAATCACATTCAATTCACAATCAACACATATATACACAAGTGGAACAAGTTACACAATAACATACACTTGTTTGTTTTGCATTTTGGCCTAGCCACGTACCCTCTATTAGGGCACCCTCAGCATAATGCAACACCATATATATATACAAGCAAGTTTTACATCACAATCAACATAAAATCACTTATGCATCCTAATTGATAACTTAAACTTTAACAACACATTATACATTCATACAACTCAATGGTAGTCATACCACTACCAATCGAGGCTACTCTTTCTTTGCCTTCTTTCTTGGCCTTCTAGTGCTCTCTTCACCTGTGTTCAATGTAATGGAGTGGCACATATGTCCTAATAACTCAAAGGTAAACAAGCGATAAAATAGCATGTGTATCAATAAAATAATAGTATATGCATATACAAGAATTCACTCTCATTAATCTTGTTATACTTATGCAATGTATTCCTGGTTCTCCCTGGCAGAGTAATCTCTATGCTCAGACTAGGACTTCCAGTCACAAGGAACATGGCTCACCATACCACTGCTCAAACTAGGTAATCCTCTTTGCGTATGGGTGGTCACCTAGGTCCATCATGGTGAAGTCAAGATCTACACTTTAGATCATCAAGACTTACTGGCCTTATAGACCCCCTACCCTAGTCTAAAGTAACCTCGTGGATCATTTAATATCCTAGGTCCGTCATGACGGAGTCAAGGTCTACGCCCTGGATGGGATTCTTCTCCTAGGTCCGTCTTAGTAGAGTCAAGCTCTACGTTCTAAATCATCAAGACTTCTTAGACCTCCTCACAGTAGGGCTGCATCCCCCTACCATAATTTAGGGTATATCTAGCAGATGTGATGCATGTCAATACATATGCCACTTCAAATTCATTTCAATCGATACTCACACACCTGCATGCATATATACTTTCACAATGTTACTGCTCTATCAGTTTATAGTATAATGCATGATGTTATATCAAAATACTTGTAAATAATTTCACAAACAAATAGGTAAAATGGTTACTTCAGTTACTTTTAACCCTTGCTACTAAGGGTTACCAACCATATTAAGCTCCAACGGGTGCAGACTCTCACGAGTAACTTCACAGATCAATCTATATAACACAATGCCCTTTAGTCAATTCTCAACACTTCTCACAAATATTAATTCGGCTAAACCAAATCCCTTAACACGTATAACAGTTTAATTGAACCTATTTGAATCCACTTATTTATTATTTATAGCCATTAGCCTAACACTTTCATTTATCCAATTTCTCAATTTCAAGCTAAATTTTTAGGCCATTTTGAGCTTAAACTCTTAAAGCTCAACCATTCAACTCCATACTAGTCATAAAACTTTAGTTCTATATTTAATATCCCATTTTAATCTTTTCTTTTAGATTATATAACACCTTAGGAACCATGATTTGATTTTTCAACTGATGAAATTCAATGAAAAGGGGTAGAATCGAACTATAGAGCTACGCATTACTTACCCGACAAGTTACTAATCAAAGCAGGCTCTAAACCTCCAGATATGGCTTACCCTAGTAAATCCAAAGCTTCCTCACCACTCACACATATCTCCCCCTCTTTCTCTTTTGCTAATTTCACAATCTAACTAAACCTTTAAGTAAAAATTCTGCACCATGTACTGCGGCACATGCAGCTTTTGCTACGGCGCGTGGCATAGTGAGAAAACTTTCACTTATGCTCTCGTGTTAAGCCTCAAATCGTCGTTCTACCCTTCAATCCTATCAATATAATATCCAATCAATACAAATTATTAACTCAACACCCAAATCATAATTAATCCACTAATTATTAATTTACCCATGATTAGCCACTAGTTCCTAGGATTGAAATTCAGGATGTTACAATTCCCCTTATCATACATGATTAGGGTGTTGTTACTCTAACACTGCATCACACAAATGCATGATTAGGGTGTTGTTACTCTAACACTGCATCACACAAATGCTCAAAAGCATAAATCTCCAACATCATCCTCATATGGGCACTCAGGAGAGAATTTCTAACACTGTAACTAAATAAGCACTCAGGAGAGGAATTCTCCCATACCATGCCCAATATCACTTAGGAGAATATATGCCATATGCTTTTTTCACTACTCCTCCCTATGGGTGAACTCCCACCCCTAATATGATCATGCCTATGTTTCTCGTATATACATATATACATATATTTTTATAATTTAAATTCTTAAAATCATTTCCATGCACAATATGCAATAACTTCAAAACACATATATGTATTATTATATGAATACTCACAAACAATTAAATGAACTAATCAAATAAAGTAAATTATTTGGTTACCTAACCCTTCATGGTATTCTTTCTCACAATTTACTCTCACTACTTTAAATCACTCACATAGTACGTCAACCTACTCAAATTAGCACATTAGTTAATTTATAAAATTGACCACAAGCATTAATTACTATCACAATAGCTTTTTGATATGAATTTTCACCGCGTGCCATTTTCATGCTTGACATCTGATTAGAGTGATTCATTAATCTATCTAATGACGTAAGTTTGGACATGATCTAATGGTATGATCTAAAATTGAACACCTAGGTGTAAAAAGTCACTTTTATTTTAAAATTTGGCATCCTAAGTGTTCAATTATCACATCTTGCCTCCATTTTAAGCCTTAAACTAAATCCAAAAGGATCACTTACACTTAATTAACATAATAAATCACTTATATCATATCAAATACTCATTTTGACCTCCAAATGCCATATATTATACACTTGTGGTCTTATATAAGGTAAAAACATGTATGTGTACAGACATCAATACTTGTTTCACTTTCACACCTTTGACTTACACATATGACTCATACAAATGGGGCCAGGCCTCACCATTTGGTTAAGATCCACACATATTTCATTAAGACAAGTCATATATAATTAAAGGAACAAGTTATGTTACATAATATAAACTTGCTTGGATAGCATTTAGGCCTATCCATGTATTCACTACTGTAATACACTTAATGAGATGCAATACAAGGTACACAAGCAAGTTCTCAAGCAATATAAACATATATACACATTTACATACATACACATTTAAAAGTTGGTAACTCAACTTTTAACAATATAATTATACATTCCTTATAACAAAGGTAGTCATACTACTATCAATGGAAGTTACATTCTCTCAATTTTAAATCAAGATTTATTAGATTCAAATAGATCAAATAAATGTATTAGTGAAGTGTGTGGCCAGAGGGGGTTAACTTGATGTAATTATTATGAACTTAGTCCTAGAAGTGGGTTTGGATCAATGGCAGGTCACCCGAGCAAGGAAATAGGAAGAAAAAGAAAAGTAATGCTCTCTGTGCCATATGCCACGGTGCATGGTTAGTTTCGCCATGGCACACAAAGACAGTTTTTTAAATCTAACAGGCTTTACTATGCCATGCACCATGGCAGTGGACAACATGCGTTGTGGTGCACGGCTAAAATTTTGATATATCCGCTTCATATTTGCGTGAAATATACAGAGAAGAGGAAGAAAAAAATGAAGAGAATGAAATAGCAATGTTATGTAAGCTTCCTTACTTAAATTTTCCTCTTTTCTTCCATGTTCTTGATGGTAAAGGTTAAAGTTTGATTGTTAATGGTGATTTTTGGTCCATTGAAGCCATAAGTTTACCCATTAACTTAAATAGAGTTAGTGGGAGTAAATTGAGCTAAATAAACTTAGTATTAATGGTTTTATAATGATTGGTGGTTGGAAGACATTAAATGTCTGAAATTCCAATAAATTAGGTGGTTGGGAACAATGTGATTTCATTAATGGTTTTTAAGAGCTCAATGTTATTAATGAGACTTAAAGGAAGCTAAGAAGTCTCTTATGGGTACTTTTACAATAAGTCAAGAAATAAATCTTAAGCATTAAGAAATGATAAAGTATTAGTGGCAAATAGTGTAAAATGGATATTGATATTTTGTATGGTAAATGCTTGTAGAGAGTATTTACCATTAGCACCATTCAAGCTTCTTGAAAGCCTTAAGAGTGAGTAATTGAGGGGTGAAACCTTTGACCTCTCAAAGGTTTGAGGTAATCGGGAGAATTCTATCTTATGCTTTTGCATGTCTATTAGTTTATGGATTTATGATTGATCATTGAAATGTGTAAATTAAAATGAAATACAAGTATGGCTTGATTTGTTAAAAAATCCACTAGATCCAATTTGTGAGTTTTATGCCTTATGATGTAAAATTTCTTTGAGGTCACTATCAGTGGATTTTCATATTATGTTTATTGGCAGTTCAATTACTTTGTGATTTGAGAAGTAACATGAATTTTATTAATGAGAAGTCCAATGATGTTTAAAAATAGTGGGGTTCAATGATTTTTAAAAGTGTGATGTACAATAATTGTGACTTAAAGTTCTATGAAAACGTGTTTAAGAAGTTCAATGAAAAAGGTTAATATGAAGTTATATGATAAAATCCACATAGTAAGGCCTCATCCATACGATAGTTTGCCTAGATTAATTATATTCATATTGTCCCACTTGTTTAATGAGGGACTATCTTATTGGTTTTATGAAGGACTCAAATCTAGCTAGCTATCCATTGGTTCAATGAAGAGGCTAGTCTAGGGAGTATGATACCCTATAGTGTGAGAAATAGGGGAACCATGTTCCATAAGTGAGTCGGATGCGCCTCGACTGGGTAATTCCCTCACAAGTATTTTAGGCTAGGGAAGTTAAGGAATATAGACTATCCTATTAAGTTATATAGCCCATGGTTTCATGTCAGAGGAATAAGGAGGTTATAAGGGAGGTGTGATCATGCATATAGTAAGTAAGGACACTTGTTATCTATATGGTGTCTTTAGTGATGATATCATGAGTTAGTCTTAATTTCTTCCAATATATTCATCAATAATTTGTGTGACTAGCTCTATTTCTATGAAAAGTGCTAAAAAGCATTGTTTCTCAAGTAAATGCTATTACATGAGATTGAGTATTATTTTCAAATGTTTTACATGGATTAAAGTATTAACATGGATTGCTACTTTCATTTAAACTAATTAGCATGCATCAGTATGGGTTAGTCGAACCTTGGTTATTGAATAGTTGTACTCACCCCATTATCTTTAATATTACAGGGAATAGCTCAAGAGGTGTGGATAGAGAAAAACACCCAGAGGCTTAAGACCACAATCCTTTTATAGTAGGCCTCCTTATTTTGAGTAAACTTATGTGTATGACAATTTCAATTGCTAATTAGCAATTCTAATTTGTTCTTTACTTGCATTATGTGTATTATAAATTGTAAGTGTATTTTGGGTCTTATAGGGTGAGTTAATGATTATATGTTGTTATAATAGGGCCAAAATACTAATGCAAGTAAGAGTTGACCATATTATGAAATGACTTGGGAGAACTCAATGAAAATTGTGGTAAACTCTCCCTTTTCATTTTTTTTAAATTCAAGGAGTTGAGTGGTAAAAACCTGAGTTAGAAGTATTTCTTATGTTATGGTATATTGCATGAGTCAATCTTAATGATTTGTATGTGATTAAATTGGTGTTGGTGGTTATTAGCCTTTGGTATTTGATTTAGACACTAGAAATTGTGAAAATTGTTATAAAAGCATAAGTTTCAAAAAGGAGAATTTTTATTTTAAAAAAAATTGAGTTTGAGACTAATGCCAGTAGTTAGAGCTCGAAAAGAGCTTTTTGTAGACGCCTAATTCATGTCATTTGGATGACAAATGGAGATTTAGGGTGCATCAGAAGTTGGCCCTAATACTGTCAAATTGATAGCAGTATTCACTGTCAAAATTCATGCATTTACATGTGCTATGAGTCGTAACATGTGTCACAGAGGCGAACATGCTGCGGCGTACACCTTAAATTTTTTTTAAAATTTTCCTTGTTTTAAATTCTTAAACAATTATGCTCAATTATGTAATGGTCACATGCTTTCGCGAATTTGTGAACTTTGATTTGTCTAATTGCAAGACTTGAAAATGATTTTAGTTTCATAAACTTGGGGTCCCCATTTTACTAACTATTGAAAACTCTATATTTTAATAATTACTATAATCCCATCCTCTAATTTTTTAGGATTTGGCTTTAATTATGGGATTAAGAGGAGGAGGATATTATAGAGGCTACTCTTTCCTCGCTTTCTTTCCCGACCTTCTTGCACTCTCTTCACCTATATACAAAGGTAACAAAGTGAGATATACATTCCAATAACTTGGTTAAACCTGAATTACCTATTAGTAAGTAAAATTACAAACAAGAGATAAAGTAGCATTAATTTCAATAAAATAGTATAGGTAGTATATACACAAAAATCATACACACACCCATCCATTATGTTCATATACTCTCGATTCTCACTAGCAAAGTAAGCTCAATGCTTGAATCAAGACTTCCAGCCTTATAAGATCCACCCGACCACTATCTTAGTCTAGGTATCATCAGTATGGGTGGTCTCTTGAGTCTTTACTAGTAGAGACACTTGGACAGTTAGGACTTCCTAGCCTTACACAAAATAGGATCACAACCCCTTACTAGTCTAGGGTACACTTGTGAATATTTCTTCTAAGTCCTTCCTGGAGGAGCAAGTAGGCTCAAGACCTTTAGGACTTCCTAGCCTTAGTTAGAGTAGGGCTGCGACCCCTTCCCTAGTTTAGGGTTGCAGATACAAATGCATATGTCTCTTTACATACATTTCAAACATCACTCATATACCCACATGCATATTTCTCTCATAATACTACTACTCTATCAATTCGTAAAACACAATGCATACATTTAATATAAAATACTTGTAAATAATTGTACAAAGTAATAGATAAAAAAGTTACTCCAGTTACCTTTACCCTTACTACTAAGGGTTACCATTCTCACAGTAACTCTCAAAAGTGCAAATTTCGACGAGTAACTTCTCAAATGCTCAATCTACATAAGGAACATTCCTTATTCATTTTCTAACACTCAACACAAGTATTAATTTGGGTAGGCCAAATTCCTTAGCACATGAAACCATTTAACTAACACCTTTCAAATGCACATAATCCATTCTCTATAGTCATTTGTCCTTTAAGTTATCTAAATGACCAAGACATTCCCCTTTCCTATTTGTTTATCAATTTTTCCCATTTTCAACCTAATAAGTTAGGTTAATTATGCCCATGTCCTTAAGGTTAAACCATTAAACTTTAGATCAGTCGTAAAACCTTAGTGTCATACTCGAAAGTCCTTTTTAAACCTTTCCTTAGATTTTAAATCCTTAAAACTTATTGATTTAACTTTTCTACCAATCAAACTTAAAGAAATTAGGGTAGAAACATAGCACAGGGCGATACGAAACTTACTTGACAATTCATTGGCCGAAGTAAACTCCCAAACTCTATATAATTGATGCCTTAATAGAGACAATCTCTTTTCTCCTGCTTATGCATGATTTCATATCTTTCACGAGTTGATGCATGTTGCTTTAAGTCAATTATATGCTATGTGTCATGGTGCATGAAACACATGCCGCAACGAGTAGCACAGTGAGATAATTCTTACTGCTATTATGTTTTGATTCACAGTTCTACCATCCAATCATGTAACCATACTAACCAATCAGCACCACATAATAATAAAAATCCCTTATTCAAAACATGATCAATCCATTAATTACTAATCTACCCCTAATTAGAAACTATTTTTCTTGGATTGAAATTTAGAATGTTACAATTTTGATCGTAGAATTTAGATAATTTCTTATTGGACTAGACTTTTAAGGATAACTTGCATCCTTAAGAAGATGGTGAATATACACAAAACCAAAGTTCTAAATTATGATTTGTAGGTGTATCTTAATAGTTACCTTCAAATATTATAATTGTTTTGAGGTTAATAGTGTAACATCCAAAAAAAATTTAATCCTAGTTTATTTGCCTAATGAGGGTAATTAGTGAATTAATGAGGTGTGTAGCTGAAGGGACTTGACTTAGTGTATATGTGGTGATTTCAAACCTAGAAGTGGTTTTGGATCGATGACGGGCCACTCAGGCAAGGAAAGTGGAAGAAAAATGAAGAATTATCCTCTATGCCATATGGCTTGACGCATGGTCAATCTGTCGTGGTGCATAGAGACCGATTTGAATGCAACAAGCTCCTCTGTGCCATGTGTCATAGCATAGGGCAACGTGCACCACAGCACACAGCTAAAAATTAGATTCATTTTGTGTACGAAAATAGAAGAAGAAGAGGAGAGGAAAATAAAGAGCTCGACTTAGCTTTACTAAGGCATGTTATGGGATCACATTGAGGCTAGATTGAAACTCCCAAACACATAAGGTAAGTTTATCATACCTTTTTCTTCCTTTCTATCCCTTATTTATGATGAGTTATGGTAAGGTTTGAGTTAGAGGATGGATTTTCGGTCCATAGGATTATGGGTCTAATTCCATTAGTTAGAATGAATATAATGGGAGTTGTTTAAGGGATTATTTTGGAAGTGATTAGTCCATGAGAGCATTTAATATCCAAAAATTGATATACATATCATAGTTAGGAGAGGTTTATGTGTATTAATGATGATTTGAGGTGTTATTAGTGATAATATGCATCAATGAAATTTAATGAGCCCATTGGATATGAATGGATAGTGACTATGGGTTGATAAAATAGAGTGTGGAGTTTTTGTATTGAGAAATTTTCAAGATTTAGACAATGATGATATTCTTATGGTATGGATGTAGTGAGGTTCATTTTTGGCACCATTTAAGCTTGGGAGAAGCTTGGAAAGTTAGTATAGTAAGGGGTAAACCTTTGATCTTTCAAAGGTTTGAGATAACTGTGAAAAACTTGATCTTTATAATTGAATGTTAATTGTGTTTGTGAAATATGATTTATGATTTAAATTAATGATACATATTGGCAATGTATTTGACTTGCGAAATGATTTTGGAAAGATAACCTTGATTATACCTCCCTTTATATTTTACAAAATTGATTATGATTTGTTACTATGAGTGAAGAATTATGATGTATTATGGGTTGAGTTTGTGAAGTATTTGAGTTTATATGAGTTTGTATTATGAATTAATTATTAAAATGTATATTATGTGAGACATGTGTATAGGATGATCATTGGCGGGAGTTCACCTAGAGAGAGGAGTAGATTAATTTAAATCCATCTGGTATTGGTAGTGACTATTAGAATCAGGAACTAGCCTTGGCACCAACCATTAAAATTGAGAGGTAGCCCTTGTCCCATGGTTAATTAAGGTCTGTCCCACTTGTTATATGAGAAACTCAAACCTAATTAGTCTTCATCGGTTCATGAGGAGGCTAGATTAGGGGTACGACATCATGGTTGTTAGTACTGGGGGAAATCAGATTACATAAGTGAGTGAGTTCACCCTGGCCTAGTAGCTCCTCACAAGTGAAAGGCTGGGTTAGTCCATGAAGGATGTAGCCACGTGATAGCCATCGATTTCATATTGAAGGTAACAGAAAGATATAAGGTTGGCATATGATCATGCATATAAGTATGACCATATGGTTGTTAGTTTTATGGTCCAGCATGTGTTGAAAGTGTATGGTTATTATTTTTATGACCCCGTGTTATGTTTTGTGAAATATCATGATAAAGTGTTTTGTAGTAAGCTTGATCATATGGTTGTTAGTTTTGTGAACCGTGGCCGAGTGTTATATATGATATATGTGTTTTTACCTAATTGCATCTATTTATAATTAATATGAAACTGTATGGGTTAGGTAAAACTTGATTACTGAGTGGTTGTACTCGCCCCTTAATTCTCAATATTTTTTAGGACCTAGCTTATCAGATTCGAATTGGGAAAAACACGTAGAGGCCTAAGATTGTGAATAATCCTCTTTATGCCTTTTTTTTTGTTACTTTCATGTGTATTTATTGATGTAATTTTCAATTAGGATCATTTGACATGATTTATGCACTACTTGCATGAATTTGTGTATAATTAGTGCATTTTATGCCCTGAGTTAGTGAGTTTTGGTTGTAAACCCGTGGATAGGGCCAAAATACTTGTGCAAGTAGAAACATATGTATTTTAAAAGATTTGGGATAAAACTAATGATTTTGTGCAACATTTCATTCCCCATTGTGTTTTGTGAAAAATAGGATTAAGTAGTGAGTTTATGATATAAGTGTTTTTGATTGTGTGTGGTGTATTGCATAGGTTCGCGAGAGTTCAATTGAGAGTGATCGGATGGTTGGTGTGAGCTATTGGCACGAGTAGATGAGTTATGATACCCATTTGTGAAATTTTGTGAAAAAGTGGTCAAAATGAGTTTTGGTGTCCAACTTTTTATAGAAAATGAGTTTGAGTAGGAAATCGATGCCATTAGCTAGAGTTAGAAAAAGCTTCATGTAGATACTAAAACCACCCTAATCGGATGTGGAATAGAGATTTGGGATGCGTCGAAAGTTCGCTCCTTGTGCTGTCAAATAACAGCACCGATGCTATCAAATTCACACAATGTACCGCGTCACATAGCACAAAGAAGATGAGCCATGGTGCATATGCC